AAAAAAAAAAAAAAAAAAAAAAAAAAAAAAAAAAGATAGTCCAGGATAATAGCTATTACAGGTGTGAAGAAACATCACAGAGGCATTGCTTTCCAACAAAAGAAATCCCAGGCTAAGAATCAAACTGGTGTGTCTTAGGTCATGTGCCTGTCCTGGATCAAGCACTTTGTCCAAGAAGTTGGGGCAGTATTATTGACTCTGCTAAAGTCACTTTACTATCCAAAGACTGGGGTCAAGGTTGGTCATCAAGACATTGGGAGAGGAATGTGCTTGACAAAGTTGAATCCTGTTTATTATGATTCAGTATTAGACTGTAACTTATAAAGCTGAGAAGATGAGATGGGGCCAGATCATGAAAAATTATGTAGGTCATGTTAAGAAGTTCAGAATTTTTCCTATGTGCAATAGCAATTTATTAAATAATTTTATACTGGGGTCGTGTTAGTGCTATATTTAGAAAAATCACACTGGCACAGATTTTAGGGATTGCTAGGAGAAAGTAAATGAGGAAATGAACTAGGGAACTATTATTTTTTATTAAATTTATTTAATACTTTTTTTACATTCTAAGATGACGTTGTGAAGCAGCTGGGGGGAGGGGGGAGGCGTAAGGGGAGCAGGATAGGGTGAGAGGAGGAGGGAGGCAAGGGGGGCATGGTCAAGGCCTGGCACCCCTCTCATTTCAGCAGAGGAGCCCTGGGCACTTCTGGCAATGGCTCGGTGGTCATCTCTGGGCTGGATGCAGATGTTGGGGTGGTGCGGCTGAGGCCCTCATTCCCCCATCACTCCAGCTTGTGAGCCCGGGGTGTTTCCTGCAGCAGCCTGGTGGTCATCGTGGTGGCATGGCTGAGACCCACGGCCCTCCTGACTCCCTGGCTTTGGAGCTTGGGGAGCTTCTTGTCCTTCTAGGTTTTATAGGTGTTCTTGGGTGGTGTTAGACCTTTACTGGTTAATATCAGAACTTTGATCTGTGAGTGTTTTGTGTTTTCTTTCAGTTCTGTGTTGGATTATTTGCTGTTCCCACCACTTAAACTCTGCACTGGAGCTAATTTGTTGTCTTTTGCTTACTTCTAAAATGGAGGTACTTCCTGTGGGGACCAGCACTTGAGCTCTGTGGTTGAGCTAAATTGCTGCTTTACTGCTAATTCTCTGGGGAAGGTTTTTTGTGCAGCTCAGGTTTTAATGGTTGATCCTGTATGTATTTCCGGTTCTCATTAGGTCCAGTACACCTGGATTGTGTAGAAATTCTGGTCTGGGCCTGAGTCTTTTCAGTAAACTGCATCCCCTGCAGATCTGTATTCCTGCCTGATCCATCTCTACTTAGTGGACCTGTGCTGACTGGGGGGCAGATCAGCTGTCAGTGCTGTACCCCAATGTTCCCCTGGTCACCCATCTCCCCAATCTCCCATACTCCAAAGACTTCCCATGGGACAGGCCATGCGCCAATTCCTTGTGATGATTCACCAGCCTCTGAGTGGCTCCTTTTTTCAGTTGTCTGTGGCCCTCCCCTCTATGTGGGTCCACATAGTGGTCTTGCTGGCCTGGGGGCAACCAAGGCCCTCCCCTCCCCTGCTGCCTCCAAGCAACTTCATAGGAAGGGCACAGCTGCAGCTTTTGCCAGCTCCTGCTCTGTGTGCTCAGCAGCTCCAGCATGGAAGCAGCCAGGGCTTGAAATGGTCAGAGTAGTCCTTTCTTTCTCTCATTGTGGCTTCTCCTGACTTCGTGCACTTCGTCTCTCCTCCTCTTCCCCTGAGCTCTAAATGGGTTGATTGTGGGAGAGAGTGTCTCTTCAGCCATCTTGATTCCCTGCCCCCATGGG